TCTTAAACACAATTAAACGTCCAATCTTCGGGAATTGAAAATCACATTTAATATGATCACTGTCGCAAACAACGACTTAATTACATACACGAATGACTTATAATAGACATAGAAACTATTTTGGAAGGTGGTAATACCACCGGAGAGAGATATGATTATCGAAATACAGTCGTTAACAAACTTCCATCGAGTAGATTCAATAGTCTCATAATAGTACGAACATTTATTTTCAAGACTGTAAAGATTTATGTGACTTATTCTTTTATCTGTGCATCGACTACCATAACTACGTTCAAAAATGCTTAGTTTGATTGATTGGAAAAGACCAGAGCTAATCACATGTCTAATTGATGATTGGCTTTATTCAACCAAATTTTTACCTGTCCTCAGTCCAAGTTAATTATTTTGCTTCTGTCTTTCCCATTTAGCATAGAACAAAATAATAAAAAAACTATGCAGCAAAACTGAGAACGCTTTCCTTCTTTCTCGTTATTTCTTTTTATACTAAATGATAATGATAAAATGTTGCATGTCATTTGTGATCATTTCACAGATTTCGTTGAAAAAATTCCGAAAATTATCGGAAATATTGGTCTCATAATATATAAACAGGGGGGAAATACACATCTCATGTTAGAATAGTGAACAGGAGAAAAGCGCGTTTTTATGAGTTTTGTCAGTTCAATCTCTGCTAACAGTGTTCTGTAAGTTTTCAGCATGTACAACCTCTCTAGAATTACTCGGTATAACAAATTACCTGATTCTGAATACTTTTAAACTTCTAAGATCATCATCATGACCAGATATTTCAGAGCTGAAAAAAATAACTTGGTTGAGTCGATCACCTTTGAACATATTTTAACATATTTTTTTCGAGTTTTTAACACTTGAATCTCTTTCATCCCTTCTGTCTGTCAGTCACTTATTATTACGTCTCCATACTGTCTTTATTCTTCCACGTTGTTTCATATTATGCTCACTGTATTTCAATTTCTCTTTTTCTCTTATATCTGTATTTAATTCTCTTTATGTATATTTTGCTTTTCCTTTCAATAGCAACTTGCTGCGTTGAAATATTTTTCTCGTGCGACTAAGTGGATATTTTCTCCTTGCCTAGAGTTAGTAAGAGTTTGGTATTGTTGATAAATAGATATCTTTATGTTCTCTGAAATCATAGCAACTCTTTATCTCAAATTAAATGAGTGAGTAATATTTGAAATCAATTAACTATGTCAGTTATTCGTTCTTTATTTGCATCATCAAGCACAAAAAATAAACGTCATTCATCTGTGAAGATAATTATTAGTCAGTTCCATTCACATATAGATTAACCTTAAGCAACGGTTAGAAATAAATTGAATGCTATTTACTTATGAGTTGAGGGTATGGGGTGTGGCTGTGGCTGTCGGTGTGACTGGAGACAATATTCACACTCACCCACACACCCTTTCTAAGGATGTATTTAGAAGGAAATTTTTTCTTTAATTATTATTTAATATTAATTAATCACAGCTAATGATACATAAAGAGTACTTTTTACCAAATTATAATCCATTCAATTTTGCATCGAATAGTATATAAAAAGAGTTTTTAATAATTATTTAATAACGAAAAATTAATAAAATAATAATAGTGCTTTAAACTTTTTCCGCTGCAATAAAATGGTTTGTGTGATATAAACTCAAATGACTGAACTTAAGCAAACATTTGCAGCTTAGCTTTGTAGTCCGTGCTGAGAGCTATCGAAATCACTATTTGATACCGTTAACTGACTATTCAAGAGAAAAATATAGACAAAACAAGAAGTACCTTGAACTTTTTTCCTCCACTTTAGAATTTGGTGTTATGCGGCATCCTAAACCATCAGTCCGTCTCAAAGCAATGAATAATGAAGTATTAACAAAGAAAAGCAAAAGTAAAATAACGATAATTACAGTTGCTTATCGAGCTACAGTTATATGATTAAATTTTTGTAGTATTGTATTTGTTGATCTACTACAAAATTGATCAATTGAAGCAAGAATAAGAAAATAGGAAAGATATCGATGGACATAGATCATTTAAACATTGAATTAATTTAGATAAAATAACAGAAGAATTATTTGGATAGAATTGATATCCAATAGATATTAAATGATAAACAAGAATAAACGCTTGAATAAAACAAATTATTTATAGAAAAAGCAAGAAAACAAAAAGGACAAGATTTTCGTTGAAAAATTGGTCGAGTAAGTACTAATATATTCAATAAATTTTCCACAATACCTATGATAATAATCATAGAAAGAATATATCGTATTAATTGAATAGAAATTAACATCAATCATTCACTTCAGATTTTTAATGTAATTTATACTTCATATTCATTATCAAAGAAAATACTGTTGTTTCACATCAAGATCAAAATACTCTTAATCATCTTTCTCATATTCATGTTACTTTAATTTTTATGAGATTTTTGTCCTTATAAAGCATTTATTGTATTACGAAAAAAGACCTTGTTGTTACATCAATGGTGAAATTAGTTTTTAGAAGGCTTCATTGATAAAAATAATGAAATATTTTTTTATAAGATCTATGCAATATGAAATAATTTGATAAACGAACAAATAGTATTGACTTACATAATGATAACAAATCCATGAGTGTGTTTTTGTTTCGTTGATTAAACGGAAAAAAAGATCAACATGAAATATTGTGAAAAGCAAGAACAACTGTCTATTCGATAGTTTTTATTCTTATAAAAGATATAGTGTGTTGACACTTTGGTCATTTGCACTTCACAACAGAATCAATTTTATTGAATAAAGTAAGTTAAATAAATCCTTTGAAGGTGGATTTTTTGTTTATAAAAGGAATAAAATCGTAGTGTCAGAATCAATTCTAACCTGAAACGTATTAACTATCATAATTGTTATACTGGTTCTTATTGCAAAGACACAAATAGAGAATTTTGAGATAGGAAAAGGAACAAAACACTCAAAGAGTCTACTTGAACAAAGCCAAAAGTTTTCATTTCTACTGGAATTTTCAAACCGTGTATATACGGGCTTCGCCCTCAAAGGGTTAATAAAAATATATTTGAATAAAAATTGTCATTTTCTAGAGGATATATTAAACAATAATAATGAATTGTGTTCGATTGACATTTATTCTTCTTAGCGTATTCATCGCTATTATTCATTGTTTAGTTACTTTTCGAAGAGAAAATCAAGATGAAATTGATCCATTAGATTTAATACGAGATAGTTATGGATATGATGCTGTTGTTAAAAGTTGCGGAAATAAAGGCAAATGTTGTGACATTCACGATGCTTGTTATAAACGACATGGCTGTAGTGCTATTAGTTGGTTTTGTTTGTGTAAGTGAAATTTCATTCATTACAGTTTCATTTGTTGGTGTTTTAGTGGGAAATTGTCAACAATGCAATTTAGACATAATGGCTTGTGTTGTCAGACAAAATCCTGGTGTAAGTTCATGTTGTTCAGCAAAAAATTGTGGACAAACACGACCATAATCTTTACTTCTTCATATTGAGTGCAATTTACCTTTTATTAAACTAAATAAAATATCCCCTAATTCTATCTCTATAAAGAAAACTGTTTCTATTAAAAAATGAAATGAGAATTTTTATTAAAAAAAAATCAATTGGTATAAAACCAAGGATGATTAATAATTTGATCAATAAAATAAGTTATGATTGATGAAATTGTTGAGCAAATATCGGAAATTGAATAGAATAATAAGAAGGACAATTAATAGAAATACTTCGAAGAGATTGATGTAAATTTTCTGAATACATTATATTTAATTCTGTTGGTTTATAAATAAATTTCATGATTGAAAAATCAATAAATCTAATTAAACGTTGATTATTATTATTCATTATAAAAATATTTCTTGAATTAAGATCATGATTGACGAAAATTGTTGCACAAATCATCACATTGAGAAGTCGTCTTATGCTCTTACTATCAGCGAAATTAATATTCCATGACACAAAGCCAACAATTTTGGTATGCCTGATCTGTTATCCAGGCCGAATATTATATGGATGAATCGCACCAGGGTGTCGGCTGTGGGTGTGGGTGAAGGACAAAGTCACACCCACATCCACACCCATTGTATACTGTGCGTACTCGTGAACACTAGAGGTCTTCAATCAGTATTTGTTATGCCTCGGTATAAAATACCAACATGAAAAACAAAGCCAGATTAAATGCGGGGAAACAAAAACTAAGAATAATGCCGTTCTTAATTGTATTAGGGAAATAGGTATTTTCTTAAAAAGAATCAAAGAGCGTGATAGATTTTTCTCATTATTTCAAATGATTCAGGATATACGTAAAGCAGAGATCGAAAACGAACACAAACTTTCTTCCGGAAAGCGAGTGAATGTAGACAAACATATAACGAAAAATGATTAATTGTGGTGTCACCTTTTCTGTAAAATTGTGATCCTTCGGGCTTTGATCAAAGAAGGTTTGATCGATTGTTTACATCAGAGATCGAAAACAAACTGAAGCGAACCGAACTCGAACCAGTCAAACTCGATTCAATTTGGCCTCTGAATTAAACTAAATATGAGAGAACAAATGATATATATATATATATCAGTCGGTTACGATCAACATTATAGATACCTCCCAACAGTTGACTCTACTGATTTACCGCATCCAGAAGTATCTTTTATCGATAGTCTTATTAGATGTATTAATGAAAATATTTCAATGGAACTCATCTAAAAGAGTTACGTATTAGCGCAAAAGCAACAAAGATTTTTAATCGTAAGTTATTAATGAAGTTTACTGGTCAACCTCAGCGGTTAAACTAAATTGATCGAGAACAAACAATGCAACTTGGCACGAATAAATAAAAATAATCGGAATTGAATTAGATTGGGTTGCGAAAGTCCATTTAGAAGATGTTTGACAAGACAAGACAGATTTGACNTCGACCTGATATTAAATCAAATAGTTTTCAAAGACCACGATCAGAAATGAATATTGCTAGTGGTATACCGAAATTTTTCCCATTGGCAATGATTCAACAAGAAGGTAATCCATATGTAAGAGATGATACAATGTTTATTAAAGTAATGGTTGATTTTGGTGATATGCCTAAAACATTGTTACCATATGCATTAAGTCTTAATCCAGGATTACCAATGCATATTCAACAATTATTAATTAAACAAGAAACAGAACGAAGAGCACAACAACAATCTCAACCAACACCCACACCACTTGCAAATTGACCCATAACATTGACGATGTTAACTAATGCAAGAAATATTAATGATAGATCGCAAGATCCAACCAATAATTAGAATAATAGATTTTGGTAATATATATATTTTTTGAGTCTAGAACATTTGAGATTCGGATTATGAGTCTTTCAACACTTGTACTCTTTATATTTAATATTCTTGGTATGTCTGCATATGATCGTGTCTGTAACACATAACTTATTTCGATCCTTAGAAGCATGATTAGTTAAACCCACAGTTAACTAATAGTGTTCCTAAGATCAGAATTAAGTTAGTAGTACAGACAAGATCTGATACATATTTGAGATCGGTAGAATTTTTTTCGACTTGATCAGTTTGATTGGTTGAAATTCACGACTTAATTGACGAAAAACCCATCTGTTTAGTATATATCAATTCATTAATTACTGCCCATTTCAAAATAAAAGGCGTGTAGGTATTTTTGAAATAACTTTTGATAGAACCACTGTAGAGAGTTGCAGTTTTCACCGTTAAAAAGAGGAGATGGAGACGCATCAAAATATATATTACAGAGTAATTTGATCTAAGTTTTATCAAGGACTTAAATCGACGTTTTTGAAAACCAACATACTCCGTAAGGTGGCTAAGGCCAATGTTCAATAATCAGGTATGGATTCGAACCGCTACATGAAGATCTTTAAAAGTACGCAAGGCCCAGAATTTTACGCTTACCCGTTCAGGAGTTGCAGGCATTTTATCTGAAACTCTGAGCCGATTTTTCTACCAATTTCTATAAAAATAATCGCTTTTTTTGCGTTTTTCTTATTTTTAGAGTAACCGATTTGCCGTTATTTTTACAAAAAATTGATTAAGAAAACTTTAGAAAAAATCTCAGAGAAACCTTTAATATACCATTCGGTGCATCTTCATCTCCTCTTTTCAACGGTGAAAATCGCAACTATCTACAGCGATTCGATCAAAAGTTATTTAAAAAATACCCACACGCCTTTTTTTTTTGAAATGGGCAATAGTTTTTTCGAGAAACAGTCTATTACATCATTTCTACGAAGATATACAATATGAAGCTCATAATTCTTTGAGTGTCCATCAGTAAAAACTTCTGTTTTAGCTTGCCACATTTCATATATACTGAGATTAAGAACGACTGTAGAACTATTATAAGACGTTTTTATCTAATAACGAACAGTAACTGATATTAAACAACATCTTATCTATGTTTTGACTGCCTTTTTTCAATAATGATATGATGTCTTCATAAGAATTGATACGTTTGATCAATTCTTAGTTAAAATAATTAGTTAACACAACTAGAAAGAATCGCCATTCATTAGAAAGACACTGCTGCCGACAGGAATATAAGATGATTTAAAACATATGGTTTTTATATTTAGAGTTTCTTTATATCTAAATATATTTACAATTCCATAATGCTAGTAGTTGGCATAATCTTAACGAAAGAAACAAATCTCTTCTGATATTTTGTAATGAAAGCATGAACTAAAAACAATTAGATATTGGAATTTTATAACAGTCGATTATAGGTAGTTCGCAAAAGGGAGCTCGAAATTTCGAGTCGAAAAATTTTTAATTTTGATTGAAATCAATTTCTAACACCTGCTTAACTTTTCGTGAACATAATCAATTTATTCAACATGATCCGTAGCCTTCATCGTACGATGAGAACTGGCCGGTTTTAAAAGTTCAACCGAACTGAATCGGTAACAGGTAGATTCAATACTGATTCCAGGTATGATCTGATATGTACAATAATAAACAAATATAATCTACTTATCTAAATTATTATCAAGAACAAAACTAGAAAAAAAAATATGCTGATCTTTTAAAATATGTAATAAATGCTTTTCTTACGAGGGAACATCCCCAAGTGTGAGTCTCAGTTTTGAATGGGATATATACCAGTTTGTAGAGCTTGACGAGCTGATTCTTGTGGTATGTTCCGTTTTTGCTCATAGACCTCAAATGAGAAAAATCAATCGATTTTAATAGTGAATTTCTTGCCTTAGATAAGTTGTAAGATATTTGTTAGGAAATCAAAAATCAAGATTATTTAAAGTTCAAATCGTCATATTAACATACACAGCGACACAGTCAATATATCTGAGTGCATTTCAATCAAATGTGCTTCATGACTTGTTACTATTAGTACATGATGGTGCAATACTGTATTAAACAAATAAGATAGCGATAGTTCTTTTCATTGTATTGTTATGCACTCCTGATACACATCCCTTATTTTCTTGTTCTTTCTAGTATATTCTAATTGGTTCTCTCTCTTTCTGTTCTGTGCTTTTCAGCTATCAAAAAATTCTGTGACTTTCTAACTTTTTTGAGTGAATTCCTTCGCCTTCTTTCAAATCTATATATATATATATATACCTGTCATTTGGAAAATAGTCTATGATATATCTTCTGATTAATATTCTCTCAAGTTTCACTACGTCAAAACTTATTTCTCTATGATGAACGTCGTTAACATATGTAAACTTTTATATGAAAAAGCATTAGAAAGGTCAAATGTTCATTCAATAAGTATCACAGAAGAAGAGACATTGATCGTAATCAATCTGCTCGATCTATTAGAGGATCTTTCCAACAGTGACAGCTTTACTATAGAGTCCAGGTGTTGCTTTTACAACCGTACAGCATGCTTTTCGACGAGTTACACATCCTATGCAATTAAAACGATTCCGAGAATATGTTACAAATAATGGAAACCGTCGGCAAAAATTGGAGCGTGTAGAGCATTTTGTACTTGATAGGTTTCGCTCTGCTCGTAATAACAATTTACCTGTGCACGATCTTGATGTGAAACGATGGGCTCTATCCCAAGCAAAAATAGAAAATATACATGGTTTTAAAGCAAGTGATCATTGGCTTCTCAACTTCAAAAAACGCAACGGCATATCTTCCAGAAAAGTGACAAAATTCGTTTCTCATAAGGAAGTTGTTGATAAATCTATAATTAAACAGACTGCTGATGGATTTGTCGCTGAAGCAACCAAACATATACCAAAATATAAGCTTGATTTTGTGCTAAATACAGATCAATCGAGTTTTAATTACGAAATAGCTTCGAACCGTAGACTATCTTGTGCAGGAGAGAAAGCGACTTATCTAGCAGTAAAATCTTTGAATGCTATTACCCATTCCTATACAGTGATGCCGATCATTAGTGCCACTGGTCAATTGCTCAGTCCTATCTTTATTTGTCTTCAGAAGCCCTCAGGTCGATTCCCAATTACAAGAGCGGTCTTTCCAGCACCAAATATAGTAACTAGTTGCAGTACGTCTGGAAAATTAAATAAATCCTTAATAGAATACTAGATTAGAGAAGTTCTCGATAAAGTAGTCAGCAACCGATTCCTTCTTGTGATCGATCAATGGTCACCGCAGGCTGATATTACTGCATACGAGAATAACCTGACAAAAGGACAGTCGTGTAAATTATTGTTGATGCCTAGAAGAGCAACGTCAACTAAACAACCGTGTGATACTTAGTTTTTCCGACAATGGAAAGTGTTAACAAAGAGAATATATCATCGTGTATCTCTAGACGAGTTAGATGTTGACTTAAAAAGTCGTGACACTATCATCAAACTGCAAAGTCTGGTTCATAATCAACTGAGTTCTTCTTTATTTAAACCAATGATTTCATATACGTGGTCAACTTGTGGCTACATTCCTAAACAACACTCGAATTTTTCGAGGGTTATAGAAGTTTGTTTTTCTTTTGATGCGGACAGTTGCTCAAATAATAATTGTGAAGAGAGTGCATTTATTTGTTGTAGTCATTATCGACGAATATTGTGTTTCGAACATTTTTTTCACCGCGTATCATTTTCATTGATTGTGTTCCTTATATATTTTTCGAACAAAACGAGTGAAACGATAAAATGATAGTCTATGCAACTCGAAACACCAAAATCATAAAGCTTAAACTTCGGAATGTAGAAAAAAGCTTTCTTATACAACTTCGATTGATCAAGTCCTATCATGTAAATAATATTGCCGTGCACAAAAATAACCTTGAGAATATAAAGAGCAGTGTTGCTTTAAATAGTTTTGAATGTGATATGTGAGAATCAGTGACTCAAAGTGCTACAAACAGTTTTTAAAATTACTTTTCTCTGAGAATGTTATGCTTAAAAGCCCGATATTTCCAGTATCATCCTGCACAAATAAAACTTACCAATTTTCTCGTTTGAGGTCTATGGGCAAAAACGAAGCATACCACAAGAATCAGCTCGTCAAGCTCTACAAACTGATATATATCCCATTCAAGACTGAGACTCACACTTGGGGATGTTCCCTCGTTAGTGAAACTATAGTCTGAACAATTAAAAGTATGTCTTCGAATTTTACTTTTTTTTAAATTTCATGATGATGTATTGTTTTGTTTTTATATGCTATAGACTGATATGGATTAGTCATATATTTACTATTATAATCTTATAGTAGTGGTACTGTACCTATACGTTATATCTTGGATTTTTATCTTTGTGTATATACACATATGTAAATTCCCCTGTTGTGATCTCTCTATATGAACTGCTCAACTTTATATGTTATAATACCAAAAAGAAAGGGTAATACAAATATGTATCCCGCAATATATTAGTACACAGTGTCATGCATATGTAGAATAAAAAGCAATATGTGAAACAAAGTGTAATATGCAAATGAAAATCCAATGTTGAAAATCACAACAGGGGAAATTATATACACACATATACACAAAGATAAAAATCCAAGATATAACGTATAGGTAGAGTACCACTACTATAAGATTATAATAGTAAATATATGACTGATCGATATCAGTCTATAGTATATAAAAACAAAACAACACATCATCATGAAATTAAAAAAAAAAAAATTCGAAGGCGTATTTTTAATTGTTCGGACTATAGTAATCAAAGGTTACCTTTATTCGTCTATTGCAATGGACGCAACAAACCTTAATAATTTTAAAAATTCAACTGAAG